CTCTTTTGAGCTACTGCATCCATAGGTGTAGGTCAAGTTCATCAAATTGTATCAGATTACTCTTCTTTTCCTCTTTCTTCTTCTGGTTAAGCTCTGATCATCCAGTCATTGAAGCCAGGTAAGTGGGTATTATCTGCAAGTGTGGGTGTTCTTATGCATATGCCCTCTCTTCTTATCAGCTGGACATTTCACTCTCTACTCTAGTTCTCTGTGGCTATGTCACTGACTCTGGGCCCAAGAGTCCCCAGGTCTTGCCACACTGCTGGCCGACCAGGTTTCCACCCAGGTTCATAAGAGTCTATTGAACATTGTAGGGCTTAGCTCGAAGCTTCATTGCTGTTTTTTCCTCACTTCCCCTTATTGGTGACGAATTTGGTCACCAATCAGAGCATGTATTCCCCTTGAGTCTTAGTCTTGGAAGGGGGTTTGCCCTGAGGGGACCCGACCACTTGCCTTGATGTCTTCAGGGCGAGCAACTTGCTTATTCTTGTATTAGTCAGTCGGACTGGCTATATTGTTTTGTATTTTTCCTGTGGGTCTTTCTTTCAAGAAGTATTTTCTGTGCTTCTAGCCACTCCAGGCTGGTCTGCTTGTCCTTTGAAATGGAAATTTCCCACCTCAGAAGATTCTGGATGCATTTCAGGATTCCACCTATGGTATTACGTAACGCAGAGGCTCCACAGGAAGCCTCCTTCACTGGGCAAGTTGTAGCCCCATTTTAGGTATTCCAATCAGTTATAGGCAGAGAATGGGCTTACAAGCTTTCTATGGTGATATTTCTGGCTATTCCTTTCTCCATCCCTCAAATGTCTATTTTATAATGGTATGCAAGGGAAACCATGATTCAAAAGACAGCCAAGCATCTTAACGTTATTTCCCCCTTTGTCCACATTCCAATCATATCTCTATCCCTGTATCTTAGAGCCCAGTTGTTCTAAAGTTGTGCATATGTCATTCTTTACCTCTGTCCCACTTAGCGCATGCAAACCTGCCTAATAGTTTTCCCGTCTGCTTTGTTCTTCCATTCCCCTCCCCCTTCTTGCTTATTGTCCCCTTCCCTAGCACCCAAACTATCCTGTGTCTATTCCCTCACCCCACCTCCCGCATCCCAGTAACCAGCAAAGAATCCCACCCCTTTTAGTATGGGTTCTTTTTCTTTGTCTTTTACAGTAGTGATCCTATGCAGTATTTCTCCTTTTATAACTAATTTCACTCAACACAGTGTCCTCAAGGCTCATCCATGTTATGTGATAGTTTACAGCTTCATTGTTCTTCAAGGTAGTATAATATTCCATTGTGTGTATGTACCATAGTTTGTTAATCCATTCTTCCATTGAAGGGCACTTAGGCTGTCTCCATCTTTTTTCTATTGTAAATAGTGTATAAATAACTTTTTAAAAAAATATTAAGATTATACACCTTATGGTATTGAAATGTCCTGTTTTTATGATATGATGACCATATCTCTTACAGTTTTTTTGTGAAATTTTCTTCTATCAAAATAAAACAGGGAAACCTATATCAGTCCCCAAATTTATTTTTAGAGATTTTAATGCTGTACAAGTCTAAGAACCAAAAGAAAAGTTAAAGACTTTTGTTGTTCGCAGTGTCCCACTAATTTGCATGCTAAGCGTTATTTGAACTTTACCTTCTCTTGACAGTTCAGATAATAAAATAAATACATCTGAAACAGCTTGGGAAAAAAGTACTCATTTATATGGTAAGAGTCTAATTTACATGAAATTCAGAGATGGGTTAAAGTTATTCAAAAAGGAAATATGGAATTCAGATTTGGACATTTAAGAATGTTTTGAGTTGATAGTGGTTGTCTCTAGGAAATGGAATATAGAAATGAGTAGACCAAGGGTTTACAGTTTTTCATTCTGTGTCTTTTATCTTAAAATTATAGTAATAAGCATATGTATCACTTTGATAAAAAAATATTAAAAAGAATATTTTGCATTTTGGGAGTATTTTACAAAAGTAAAGGAAGTAAGAAATTACTGGCAATAAGAGTAGGAACAGAGACATAGGATGAAAAATTTTCTGTAAATCTCTTGAGCACCTATATTAACATCTAAGAGTTCTGATAGACTTTATGGCCATGGGAGATACAGAAAAAACAATAAAACACAGTTGTGGAATTGTATACATAAGAAGATCCTTTTCTGAGGTCATATGATAACAGTGAAGATACAAACACTGAATCAATGTACTGAGAGGAGAACAAAGCACACAGGCTCTGGAATAAAAGCTGTTGCTTCTGGAGAATAGTGAGCCGCCATTTATTTGTCAACTTTGTATCCATTTTCCATTTTTGGAATTGCTAAAAAAGCACTTATTGGCAGTATCAATGTACTGTACAGCTAAGTTGAACAATGTGCTCAGTCCACATTGTTACTGATTTTTTTTTTCCATCCTCTTTAACCATAAGCAAAGAAATTATCGAAAGATTGTCATTTTCTTTAATAACGTGAATTGATTTGGTAAAGGGTATCCTTTCAAAAGGAATAGTTAGTTTTACCTTCTGTGAATTGATTTGGTAAAGGGTAACCTTTCAAAAGGAATAGTTAGTTTTACCTTCTGTACTAGTAAGATAAATACAACGATATATGTTCAGAGTAGTTGAGTATAAAGAAAAACAATTTTTGTATCTTTCACTTTGATATAGAGTAGAAATATAGAATATGGATAGCTTACCTTTAAAAAAAAAATAACTGGGAATTAATTGGAATTTTAAAATACATATTTACCTAACCTGATTATAAGCACTAGTGAAAAAAGATTTTCCAGTAAGGGATTATCAGTTTTATTTTATAAATATGTCAGATAGTAGCTCAAATGAGTCACTGGAGTCAAGCTTTTCTCAAGTTTATAGGTACCAAATGTTTTTGCATTCACATATAGACAGGGAATATATTATACAGACTCACTGGCTTGATTCTAAGAGTGTAGCCTTGAAGTACCATATTCAAAATTACTTCCTCTATCCAAATTTGCCAAAAGTAGCTTTCTAAATTCAGTCTTTTAACCTGATCCCAGTTTGAAAAGCTGCTTTTCTTTCTTAGTAATTTTTGCCCAAATGACAACTGTTATTTTTCACCTCTGCTCCACTACCATAAATGGCAAGGCTTTCAGATAATATGTTATTGTTGTTGTTAAGTGCTGTCGAGTCGATTCCGACCCATAGCGACCCTGTATAGGGTTTCTGAGGAGCAGCTGGTGAGCTTGAACCACCGACCTTGAAGTTCAAATGGCTTTGCAGTCTGGTGCATTCACCTACAGCACCACTCCCCAAGACTCCTTAAGATAATATAGGTGTATATGTTTTTGAAATAGAAAAGGGATATCTTAATATCTTAGCCTGACTCGCTGTCTTAGTCTATAGGTTAAATGTCATGCTGGATGCTTCTGTCTCACATAGTTGTAGGGCTGACTCAGCAGGTCAGGTGGCAGGCAGAGGATGGCAGGATGCTCACAACTTCCAGGATAAGCAGGCAATACAGCTGCCCATTGGCTCAAGTCCAAAGAACCAGAGACCATATGATACCAGTGCCAGATTCAGACCCAGGAGAAAGCAACATGCTCTGTCCGAGTGTGTGTGTGTGTGTGTGTGTGTGTATATATATATATAGTAAGCAAGCAACACCCCTAAGGAAACCTCCTTGCAATTGATTGGTTACTCATAGCAGATCTCATCATAGGGTGACTACATTCTATTACATCTCATCATGGAGGATGACTGTATATCTTAACTGCTAAGCTATTGGGAATTTTGACCCAGCCAAGCTGACACAAAACCTTAGCTATCATACTCAATTATACACTTAATTTGTTTCTTGTTTTACACTGTTCCACAAATACAGTGTACACAGCACTACAAGTTATTGGTAATTATTCCTAACCACTAGCCATGGACTAACCACATTTTATTAAATCATCCAGATCTGGAGTGATAAAACTGAGATAAGATCGAAGCCTTAGTTTCTCCCGCACAGTAATCTAAAGAGGGCTCTCAGGGATGCTACTTTAAAAACTGTTAGAAAAAAACAGTGAGTTTTTCCAAAGGTAAAAATACCGCCTTAGTAAAATGTGCACCTAAAATGCTGCTAGCCCAAAGTCTGCAAGGACAGAGTAGCGATGAGTCGCTTGTCAAGCCTGTTGCATAGAAGGAAGCCTCAGCTGTATTCATCCTATTTTAAGTGCGATGTAGAAAGTTACTCAAACTGCTCCAGTGACATTGTTCCTTTTTTTAAACTTTTGATTGTTAATTGAGTGATGGTTTACAGACAAGCTCATCAGCTTTACATTCCACACATGATACGGTTTGTTTCATCTCAATGATTACAATTGCCTCTCTGCAACAACAGTTACTTTACTTCCTCCCTGTGGCTTCCCTTTTCATCTTATATTTCACAAATGAACAAAGCATACATATTTGATGTATACATATAAAACAAAAAATACATATTCATTTAAATGTCCAAAGGGCACATTCTGCCCGCCAGCCTCCTACCTGCAGGCACACAGCCTTACTCATTCCATGGGCCAAGATCCCGCAGCTGCTCTGTAGCTCCATGCCATCACCTCTGCCATCATCTCAACTGTCACCACTTTACTAGGTAGGAATGTAACACTCCACTCATGTTCTTCCTTCTTGATAGTCCTGGGATCATCTATGCCTGAAGTTAAAGATTCACCCTTTTAGTTACACATCTATAATTATAGCTGTAACAATCACAATCCTGCTAACAATTATTCACAATCAAATCATAAAATCCTATCACCCAGCCGATTTCCTCCCTCCCTGCCTTCCTCGGAGGGCGGCTGTTTATGCTGGAGGTGTGGCCAGAGACGGGTAAGGATCACGTGGAACCTCAGCTACTTAAGACAGAGACATTGCCATGCTGCAATGAGTTTCAATGACTGGTAAGACAGGAATTCGCACTGACCGCCTAAGACAGGCAGCGTCCCTTAAACAAACAATAAATAAGGAGGATTCAGATGCAGACCGTGTAGACCCGGTCAGGAGGCCAAGCCCCTGTGGGCCCAAGCGTTGTTGACCGTCCAAACCATAGGCTCTGAGGATCAGATTTTAGCTACCTAGTAGACATAGCAAACTGTCCCTCATCTGATTATTCAGTAATGCTTCTTAGTAATCTCATACATGAGCCCTGGATATCCACAGACAAATGTAAAAATCTTCCCTAAAAGCCGAGACTGTAAATTCCAAAAAGGCAAGTCCCCCACCCCCATCAAAAAAAAAAAAGCTAAAGAGGATAGAGAGAAACACTGTTAGCTGATGATATATGGAGGGGATAATAATCAATGTAATGAAACAAGCTATATGAATGGTTGAATGTGAAGCTGATGATGTGCCCTGTAAACTTTCACTCAATCCAAAATAAAAACATTTAATTTAAAAAAAAAAAAAAAATCCTATCAGCATCATCCCCCATCCTCTCACTAGATCCATCTGGAGAAGAGAAAGACTATTCAGTGGGGATTCTGCCTTACCGTCCTCATTCTGAAATTAAACACACTTATGAAGTTGGTAAGCCAGCCACTTCGTGTCTTGATGTTGTTGTTGTCAAGTGTCATCAAGTCGGTTCTGACCCACAGTGACCCTGAATAGGGTCTCCAAGGAACAGCTAGTGAGCTTGAACCACCAACCTTGTGGTTCAAGCTGACTGCAGTCTAGCGCATTAACCCGCAGCATTTTGCGCCCCCTGTTTGGAGAGCCAATGTCTAGATTGCCCATCTGTGTCAACCCAGTGCACTGAGGAAGCAAGCTTGTTCCTTGATATGAAGAATCCTTCCATTCTGGTTGGAATTTTGAGCAATTGCATCCATAAGCAAAGGTCCAGTTCATCAAATTGTAGCAATTTACACTTTCTGACAGTATCAATCACATTTATTTTCATTTGGTCGAGTTCTGATTGGCCAGCTCTCCAAGCTAGGACAAATGGGTACTAGTTGTAACTTTGAGAGTTCACGCACACCTCCCTATACTTCAGACCACCTGGCCATTTCGCTTTCAGCTCTAGGTCCAAGGGGCTAGGTCAGTGCCCATGGACTCAGGAGTTCACACGTCTTCCTAAACTATAGACCAGCCAGGCCCTCCTCCTCTTCTGTCTCTCATCTCGAGGTCAATGGGTATCAGTATGGCTCTATCTTGATGTCATTTAGTCTTTAGAATATTTAAATGTAATTTGTTTTTGGCAGAAAAATTTAGCACCCCTAAGAAAGCTGTTGCATCACCAAGAAAAATTCCTCCTTCACCGAAAAGTAGGGGAACAAAGCGAGCACTCCCTCCTAAAACTTTGGCAAGTTATTTTAAAGTGTCTTCTAAACCAAAAAGTAATGACGAAATAGGAGCACTTCCGGAAAATAATAAAGGTAAGACTAATTACACTGAAAGAATGAATTTGATATATTTAATGTTTATATTGGTTACCCTGATATATAAAAATATGAATATATCTCATGAGTTCCTATTGTTATTCACTAAGGCTTAGCTACACTGAAGGCCCTATAGGTCAAAGTTCTGAAGTGTTTTCAGTCTTGGTAAGAGATTTGAGTTTAAGCTTATTCTGTAGAAATGGTAGAAATGATCCAATATTTTATGAACCTGAAATTTACACCTGAAACTAATATTTTATTTATGCAGGAATCAAAATTTCTTCTGAACAGAAACAGATTACTCAGACTAAATCCACAGACACAACTAATTCAAACAAAGAACTTGGAGCAGAAGAACCCAACAAGAAAAATGCAACATCTCTTATTCTTTTTGAGGAGGTAGGTGTACTGGTTACGAATCAGACTGCTAACCTCAAGATCAGCAGTTTGAAACTACCAGCTGTTCTGCATGAGAAAGATGAGGCTTTCTGCTCCTGTAAAGATTTACAACCTTGGAAATCCTGTATAGGGTCGCTATGAGTCGGAACCTACTCTATGGCACACCACCACCACCACCACCAGGCTTATAGATAGTTCAGATAAAAGCTTATTTTAAAGATTAAAAGTAATGTCTTCCTACAAAGGAATGTAAAATAGCTAAGAAAATCAGGAGTATTTCTATTTGAAATTACATCAATTAAAACCAACATCCTAGACAAATGTAATTTGAGGTTATTATTCATTGATGATGAAAATTATTCTGACCAATACCTATCCTATTAAACCCATTAAAACCCACTGCCATCCAGTCGGATTCTGACTCAGTGACCCTATAAGATAGAGTGGAGCTGATCCCATGGAGTTCCCAAAGGCTATCATCTTTAGAAGCAGATTGCCATATCTTTCTCCCATTTAGTGACTGGTGGGTTTGATCTGCCAACCTTTTCACCACTGCACCACTAGGGCTTCTTATAGTCAGTTAAAGTAGCTATGATTCTTTGGTTTTAAAATTTGATAATTTGTTACTTTCTTTTTACAGTGTAACATAGCTTTTAATATAGTCACACTGTTGATAAATTTAGTCTCTAACAGACATGTCTCTCTGCTATGTGTTAAGTGCCATTGAGTGAATTCTAACTCATAGTGATCCTCTATAGGGTTTCCAAGGAGTGGCTGGTAGGTTTGAACTGCCAATATTGTGGGTAGCAGTCCAATCCTTATCCTGTAGCACCATACCAGGATTCCAACAAGTCTCTTGTTACACAAGACATTAATATTCTTATAAATGGTTTGTAGGTTGATGTCATTTTCGATGAAGATGCTGGGTTTTTGAATGCTATCAAAACATTCATGGCCACAACTAAAAGACCTGTAATCCTTACTACAAGTGGTAGGTAACAAGGAATTTTAATTCTGTTAGTTACTTTTGATAAAAATATTTTAGAAAAGCTGTTAATTGTATGTAGTTTGGAATGTTCCCTTGGAAGTCAGTAAATCAATAATTTTTTCCTTCTAAAATTAGGGAAGACCTAGATTATTTTTAAACCAAGAATTCAAGTTTGTAATTGATTTGTACCTTTGAGTACTTAAAAAATTAGTGTATCATTTTGCTCCCATCAATGACTTTAAAAATGAGTACTACTATGGTACATTTTTCTGGGTGTTGGAGCTTTAGGAAGTTGAGAATAGTTAAAATACTGATAGAGATTTATGGACTAGTCAATGATAGGATCTTGTTTTTTTCTCATACTTAAACAATTAGACTAACAAACCTCCTTTACTAATGTGCTGCCTTTCACTGCAGTTTTGGTTGAATTTTTTTATGGACACATTAGATAAAGTAAACCATCGTCAGCTTAAAAGAATGGGTCCCCCCTAAATTATCACTCAGTGTCTAATTTTGAAAACTCATGACTTAAAATTGTAATGTTTATTAAATATTTTTCATTATAAATATTCAGTAGGATATTTCTGCTATGAATAGCCATAGAAAAAATGTATTTGTAGTAGATACCACTTACTAATTAATGGTCTATTTCATACTTAGTGATTGTACTTTAAAGTAATGATAAAAATCCTATTAATCATAAGTTAAGTGGTAATTTAATTCAAAGATCCTGGCTACTTTAGTTTAAGACATAAGAGTCTATTTCTTAAGTATTTATAATTTGCATGGTATTTAATTTTCATTAATGATGGAATATAGGATGTTTCCGTAGAAAAAGTATAACAAAAAAATGATTTTAGTGGCAATTTTTTTTTTAATAGATCCGATGTTTAGTTTAATGTTTGACGGCTGCTTTGAAGAAATCAAATTTAATACTCCTTCCCTAGTAAGTTCTGAATTTGATGATTATAAGTTCTATCTCATAATCACATAATTTATTATGATATTCAGTTGTAATTTTTATATGTGGTTATAAGTAATATGTTAATTTTATTTGACAAAACTTCTGATTACTATATTTACTGCTTTGCTTTTTGAACAAAAAAATTTGGGGGAGGGGGGTCCAAAATGAAAATATTTATAAAGTTTCACTAGATTCCAATCAGAGTTCATGAGGTTTTTTTAATGGTAACAGTAACTAATTGAGATAAATATTCATATAGTTAAAGAACACTAATCTTAAATTAGTTTATGTTAACATGTATAAACATGCATGAAATCATTACACAGATCAAAATATAGAACATCTTCTTCATAATCTCCAAAAAGTTTCCTTGGGCCCTTTGTCAGTCAGCAAACACCCCCTTCCCTCTTATTCTGATATTTGATTTTGGACAATATCTTTAATATCACATGCAAACAAAAGTTTGCAAAGATAATTAAACAGCTACAACAGTACATTGACAGGGAGTTGTCAGGAGTTCAAGCTGGATTCAGATGAGGATGTGGAATGAGGGATATCGATGCTGACGTCAGATGGTATCTTGGCTGAATGCAGAGAATACCAGAAAGATGTTTACTTGTGCTTTATTGACTCTGCAAAGACTTTTGATTGTGTGGATCATGACGAGCTTTGGACAGCATTGAGGAGAACGAGTATCCTGGGACACTTAATTGTGTTCATGAGGAATATGTACAAAGACCAACAGACAGTCATTCGAATAGATCAAGGAAAGGTGTGTGTATGCTGATCAGTTAATCCAAGAAGCTGGATTATATGAAGGAAAACTTGGCATCAGGATGGTAGGAAGACTTTTATTAACAATCAATGATATGTGGATGATACAACTTTCCTTCATGTTTTAGACTATAGACAATTAATAGAAGAAATATATATAAATGCTCTTAACAGTAGCATGTTTCTTTATGTTTTCTTAGAGGAGTTTCATTCTCATGAATAGCTTTAACATAATCGTGAAGTTTTAGCAAAATTTGTTTCCATTTTAGATACTGTTCATCTCATGATTTCAGCATTTCTCTGAACTGTGCAACTAACCATGCTTCTCTCTTTTTTAAAAAAAGCTGAATGTTGCCAGCTACCTACAAATGATCTGTTTGGCTGAGAATTTTAGAACAGACATCAAAGACTTTGTCACCTTTCTAACTGCAAATACTTGTGATATCAGAAGAAGTATTCTTTATTTACAATTCTGGATTAAAAGTGGAGGTGGATTTTTAGAAGAAAAGCCTTTATCCCTTTGTGGTAGGTTGATCTTCTGTAAAGTAAATGTTTATAATGAGACAACTATTTAAAATGCATGCTAGACCAAAATATTTGACAGATCATAAACTCTTGAGCATCCAGTTACCACGTTAATCTTCAAAATAAATGTACTTATGTCAACTTTGGATAGAGATATTTTCTGGTAAAGTTTTATTGTAGATAACTAGAATTAATAGAACTGAGCCTAGAAACACAGTTCTTCTAGGCTGCTGTTTAGTGTACAACCTTTGAAACATAGTTTATTTCTTTTGAGCCTATTCCCTTCAAAAATGAAAGGGTTGAACTGAATGATCTATAAATTACTTTTCATTTTGTAGTTGTTTTAAAATTATAAAAGTAGTAGGATCTCATTGTAAAAAAGAAACCTCCTACCTTGTTCCCTTTTCTCCTCTGGTATGGCTGTTAACATTTTCCAGACTGTTAGCTATACACTTATAAATATTATTGTTGTTAAATGCTGTTGACTCAGTTCTGACCCATAGTGACCCTGAATAGGGTTAGGAGACAAGTTGAATTGTATGTATTATTCAGTAACTTCCTTATTTCACTTATTAAAACTGTATTGGTCCTTTTTCCATATCTGTGTATGTAGCTATGTCTTATTCCTCTCATGTGGCTGCTTTAGCTTCTTTAGTTGTCTGTAATTCTGTTTTCTAAGAACTTTATAATTTCAGACATGCTTTATGTTTTTTCTTACTGATCATCAATCATCACTGTTACCAAATTTGAATCACAATTTATTATGCATTTTCTATATGCCAGGTTTTATATATATACAAATATGAAATGATTCCTTCCCTAACAAAGTTTGTAATTTGTGGTTTCCATATTCCATAGTCAGAGTTGTGTAGTTAGAAAACCTAAGGTGAAGTAATGTTAATCCCTAATTTTTACCCTTTAATTCGTTTAAATTTCTTATGTTATTCTTTTTCAAAGTAGACATACCTATATATTTAATTCAATATAAGCTGGTAGTCTTTACTAATTTTGAGATGCAAATATGATAAATAAGATGTAGAAAATATGTTGTTGTTTTTTTTAATAGACATATAAAACCAAATTAGTAGCTATTTATTGCCATATTCCTACACCAGATCCTCTGCCATTGAGTTAATTCTGACTCATAACCACCCTGTCGGACCGAGTAGAACTGCCTCACAGGGTTTCCAAGGCTGTCAGTGCCCATAGAAGCCCACTGCTGTATCTTTCTCCCGTAGACTAGCTGGTGGGTTCAGACTATTGACATTTTGGTTAGCAGCTGAGTGCTTAACAATTGCACCATCATGGTTGCCGAATTGTTGTTGTTGCTGTTAAGTGCCGTTGAGTTGGTTCCAGCTCATAGCAACCCTGTTTAGGGTTTCTGAGGAGCAGCTGGTGCATTGGAACCTGCTGACCTTGTGCTTCAGACCAACACTGTTGTTGTTGTTGTTATGTGCCATCAAGTCGGTTCCAGCTCATAGCAACCCTGTTTAGGGTTTCTGAGGAGCAGCTGGTGCATTGGAACCTGCTGACCTTGTACTTCAGACCAACACTGTAGTCGAGTGCTTATTCTACAGCACCACATATTAATGGGTGCTAAAGCAAGTCTTTGGAAGACAAACTAAATTCAACATACAGTTTTCCTTCTTGAAAATTGTACAATTTTATATGTAATACAGTCTTTTTTTTTTTTTTTTAAGAATCAGAGCACACATGTATTGAATATTCAGTATAGAAATACAGAAATTAAAAGGTGAAAGATCGTCCTCCCTGCTTTTTAAAGGTAGCCACTGTTAGTCCTTTTTCTGTGCTTGCATAAACATTGCTCCACCCATAGTTTATAAAACCCATACTATGTGATGGGGCTTGAAAACATTTGTGGAATAATGGAAGTGAAAAATAAAAGAATTTTCCCAGGAACTTTTAAAGTCTCCTTGTATATGTTTGACAGTTTGCTCTTTTTCTATTTTCAGCACATACAGATCTACCACTTTTTTTTCCACACATGCTTGCTGTTCCAGAATATAGTATGTATGTACCATAATTTAATTGCCCAGTATTTATTTGTAGACATTCAAAATCATCTTCAGTTTTTCATTCTAGTAAAGAAAAATACAGTAAATATCTTTATACTTAGATTTTTTAACATGTTTTTTTGAACATGGAAGTTCTGTCAGAATTCTAGAAGTTGTAGTTGTTACGTCACAGGCAGTTTACATTTTGATAGGTATTGCCAGATTGCAGCCTAAAGGTAACTGTACCACTTTATACTCCCCCTGATAATACATGGAGTCGTGGTGTGGTGCTGTAGGATAAGCACTCAACCATAAGGTCGGCTATTCAAACTAACCAGCCGCTTCTTGGAAATCCTATACAGGGTCACTCTGAGTCAGAACCGACTCAATGGCATTAATAACAACGACAACAATAATATATGATGGCTCTTTTCTGTGTACCTTTGGAAGAACTGGATTGTCACTCTTTTTAGTTTTGCAAATTAAAAAGGTAAAAAAATTGATCTGCTATTTTTCATAATCACTAATGAAATTGCACCTCTTGTCCTGAGTTTATTAGATGTCTCTATTTCTTCTGCGACTTGGCTACTCATAGTCCTTGCAGTGTTTCTCTGTTGTTGTTTTGAGAGCCTTTCACTCCCCCATTCAATTTATTTAATTAATTTTTATGTACTTTAGAAATAATAGGAGCTGCGGAGGCACACTGGTTAAAGCCTTCGTCTATTAACTGAACAGTCAGTGGTTCAATCCCACCAGCCGCTTCATGGGAGAATGATGTGGCAGTTGGCTTCATAAAGATTATGGGGCTGCACTACTCTGTCCTATAGGGAATCAACTTGACAGCAGTGAGTCTGGTTGGAAATATTGCTTGTTTTGTAGTTTTTATTCATTTCATCCATATACAGGTACATGTCTTAACATCAGTGATACGTTCTGTGAAATGAGATATTACATGATTTGGACATTGTACAACTACCCTATTATTGTATGTAAACAGTCCCCATACAGTCCCTAGTAAAAGCCTCCTACAGCCTATTATAATAAAGCCGCATGGGAGTCTGCCAGAGAAAGCCTGAGGGCTGTATCCATGCTGCGGATGTGACATGGCTGGGTGAGGGCCCTGCTGGCAGCTTGATGGGGACTTTGTACACATTTCAGTGCTGTGTCGGGGAGGGGCGTGCGGGCTGTGGAACCACGGCCCTGGAGATGAGGTGTGCGAGTGCCATTGCCCTGCTGTACCTGTTTTCTGATCCAGAGCAGGAGGGAAAGGCCGCATGGCAGCTGGGTGGGTGAATGGAGCCTGGAGGCGGCAGAAGAGGAGGTACTGTGGGGGTGGATTGAGATGCGAGATGCGCTCTGGACCCCCATTGCTTGTTCATTTTGTGGGTTGGGTCATTAAAACTATTAGGTAAAAACAATAAACAAAATGAGAGCTATTTTCCCTTTAAAAAAAACAATCCCAAACCAAAAATACCACATAGGACCAAAGACATATATGTGGGCATTGCCCCAATAAATACTAAGTGACTCATACCTATATGGATAAGAACAAACTGGGGCTATAGGCCAAAAAGATGTCAAAGGGCTTCTGATTTTAAATACAGGTAGTCCTCGACTTAATGAAGAACGTGCACTTATGACCTGGTGTTTTTTTTGTGTGTATGTGCATGTTGTTGTTAGTAATGTGTGCTACATCCAATGTTGCAGTGTGTAATTTTCTGATGTCATTCTCATGCTAACCCCCAGAGGCAAATAAGAATTATATTTATAAAGATACTGATAATAAATGGTAGTAATAATGAAAACTTAAAAATAAAACGATTTATTTATTTATGAAGAATGGTTGCAATAGGATTCCGTTGTAAGTTGAGGGCTATTTGTAAGTTGTTGGCTGCAATTTGTTAAAACATGTATAGCTAAGAGTTTTCTATGTTAATTTTATAGGAGGAAATAGCAAGAATGTTCGAGTAGTTCGCTCTGAAAATGGCTCTGATTCCAAGAATACTCCTAAAAATACTAAAAGGAATCCTACAGATATCCCGAACTGTGATATTGGTTGTGTTGACTCCTTGTTTGGCCTTAAGAACATTTTTTTTCCGTATGAAGATGTATTTTCATTTTTAAAGGTATTTTTAGTGTCTAGTTTGGGGTATTAAATGTTCTTTTTTGCCTTCTTAGTACTTCTGTTTTTTAAATCATAATGTTGACCAACATTTCTGATTTTAGTGCATTCTACTGTTTTGTGAAATGGTGAATGGGCATTGCTCCAAATGTATATTATTAGATCTAGAAATATTTTATATAAAACAGATCATTTTAGAAAAGTCGTTTTTTTTTTAGTGAGTTGCTAATTGAGTGGCGTTTATACGAAATGTTCTTGGTAAGTGTTGTGGAGTTGGCACCTACCCATAGGGATCCTTGTGTCAGAGAACAAAATGTTACCCAATCCTGTGCCATCCTCAGTATTAGGGAATTCTTCAAACTAATTGTATAAATTAATTTTGAAGATTATAGAATACTATTTTAATGGGTAAAGGAATGTATGTTCATAAAATTATGAGGCAAAGTGAAGATAGTACTTTCAAGATAGAATAGGGATTCTCACTCATACTGACAAAAAATGTTCACACTATGTACTGTTATAACATTTGTACTCAAAATTATTTTTCAGCACAAAATCACCACAAAGGAAGACTGGCATAAACTAATCCGGCTTCTTACAGAATTCCAAACACGGAATGTGGATTTTTTATATAGTAATCTTGAGTTTATTCTGCCATTACCAGTTGATATCATACCAGAAACAAAAAACCTCTGTGACTTACAAGGAACTGTGGGTGCCAGTCCAGCAATGAAAAGTGTGAGATGTCTCACTAGGAGCCATTCTGAAGGAGAGCAGTCCTCGAAAAAGTCACAAATAAAGAAACATAAGAAAAAGATGGTCATACTAGATGACAGTGACTTATTTGACACCGAATTGGACTTTTCTCATGAATTTATTAACCTATCCCCTGTCTCTTCGTCAAATTCAGAAGAACGCAAAGCCAGAGACAAAAAAAGCCCACCAGAGACAGAGAAACTAAACAAATGCTTACACTCTAACATTGTTCCTATTCCTCATCTTCCTCAAACACCAGCTGAAAACAAATGTTCTGCTCTTGTTTCTCATTGTTTAAATTCTCTCACTGAGTTCATGGATAACATGTCCTTCTTAGACGCCCTTTTAACTGATGTAAAGGCACAAAAGAAATTTGGTAAAAATGACTTCAGCTGGACTAATGGACAGGTTAAAAATGGACTTTGTGATGAGTTTAGTCTGGAGGGTAATGATGACTGGCCGCCTCAACATTCTGGAGAATTAAAGGCAGTTGTGGAAGCACTCAGCTTTACTAAGTGCTCGTCTGTCATTTCTAAAGCATTGGAAACCTCTGTGAATTCTTGCAAGAAATTAGGAAGAGATCCAACCAAAGATCTTACCTTATATGTTTCACAACATCACAACAATGTATACTTCAGTCAAACAGCAGCAAATTTGGAGTAAGTCTTTACTAGTTTTCAGTAATAAACAGTAATAGGGAAATCATGTCAATTTCTCTTAATTTTTAAATGCTGTGTTTGTGTGAGCTTGGTAAGCCCGTATTATTAATATGTAACTTCTAGTGAGAATGCAAAGGAGCTATGGTAGTGTAGTGGTTACGAATCGGGTTGCTAACCTCAAGGCTGGCATTTTGAAACCACCAGCCGTTCCATGGGAGAAAGATGAGGCTTTCTGCTCCCGTAAAGATGTACAGCCTCGGAAACCCTGTGCAGGGTCACTATGAGTGGGAACCGACTCCAGGGTCCTTAACACCAACACCAGTGAGAATGCAAGAATAACCTGATGCTTGGTAAGAGAAATAATGAGATCCTGATGGGCTAGATTTGGGAGACTCTCCATTGATAAGGAGAGGGGTTTGAATTTGCTTTGGCAGATAGTGGGTACTCACTGAAGATTTTATGTGTGTTTGGATTTGAGTGCTGTGTTGAAAATGATAAAAGAAGTTAATTTCAAGTTCTGTCTAGTGCAGACTAGAAACAGGGAGACTTTGTTTTGTTTTTAGGATTGCCACATTTTAAAATAGTAAGTATTGCTTTTTTTCTTCTTTTTCAGCAATGCACAGGAGAGAATAGCAGTAATTAAAAGTGTATTTTCTAGCCGATCTCTTATGAATCTGGGTAATAGACAAGCTAGTATAATTGAATATTTACCAACTCTTCGAAACATCTGTAGAACTGAGAAGCTAAAAGAACAAGGAAAAAGTAAAAGAAGGTAAAGCTCTCATTAAAAATTTTAGGTAGCTGTTTCAAGATTAATATTTTCATCAAGTAAAAATAGTAATATTATACTTTTCCTTATTTTAGGTTCCTGCATTATTTTGAAGGAATTCATCTTGACATTTCTAAAGAGACTGTGAACGCTTTGGCTGCTGACTTCCCTTAGTATTCCACATTAACGATGCCTTGTACAGCTTATTATTATGTGGTCTTTAATATACAATTTTATATTATGTTGATTTTTATGGAAGAGCTTAAGTTTTTAATGTACATTTAAAACAGACTATTTGTATATATATATATTTTATTAGTGTGCAAATATTTAAAATGAAAAACTTATGTTATATATTGTATATATGACTGGTAGTTATTCTTTGTCCCAAAATTTTTTGTATTATCTGACTTAGCTTTGTTGGAATATTTTTATATGTGAGTGAGCTATTTCTAGAAGGTACAGTTCACTAAGATACTTCAGTACTAAACGAATTTTCTTTTACGTACACCTCTCCAGTTATTGGTGCTCTGTTTAATTGTAAATACTGGCCATTAAGATGGTAACCTTTTTAAAATAAGTTTACAGTATACAAAATTACATATGTAATACATAAGGAAACTTTCTATGAAGAAAATTATGCTATTTTCACAATAAGATCTTCCCAGTAAATTTTCTAGTGTCTTCTTCCAGTATAGTTATCATTGAATCACTGGATATTAACAAAGTAAAATCAAGATTATGAATTATCATTAAAAAAAATTTTTTTAACCAATAATACATGTGGGATCTTGTATATTTTGCCAATTCAAATAATTTGTCTTGTGTATTTTTATATCATTGATGTTTCATTTCACTAAAATAAATGCTGTTCCTCTAGCTATCTTAAACTATTCGTTAAAACTAACAAGAAGATTCTATTATTGGATTTCTACATCATTGCTATGCCCATTTAAGGCTGTTTTTGGAGAAAATATGTACTTTTAATTACATGATTTTTAAAATGTAACATTTCACTCAGTTATTTTGTAGTCAGATAATCAGGTGTATCGTAAAATAGCTCCCTATTTCAAGTGTTTATATGTATTACCTTACTATTCAGGTATGTTATCTGGTATATTATATCTTTAACTCAAAAGGATAGGATCCTAATTTTATACAGTTTTGAAAAATATAATCATTCCTGTTTTCATTCATGTGTATGAAGATATGTTTTTATCTTTTTAATTATTTCACCCTGCCTTTTTAAAATCATTAATTACTATATTGCTCTAATTAAAAGTTAAACCTAAAAGGCTTTATGTAATATTTAAGTAGGAGTTCTAGTATAATCATCTGGATAAATATGTGTAGTTTATAGGTTTGGATATTGGCTCTATAGCATAGGTTTCGTTCCTATACAGAAGAGAGATAAGATCTTTAGAAGTATACTTTTAAAATATACTAACTTATTTTTCCTACAGAGTACAAGAGTTCTTTCACTGTTGTTACTAAGTGTCGTCGAGTCAGTTCCGCCCATAGCATCCCTGTAGAGGGTTTCTGAGAGAATTTAGTGAACATGAACCACTGACCTTGAGGTTCAAACTAACTTTGCAGTCTAGCGCATTAACCCATAGCACCACACCAGGACTTAACTCTTCATTTGTTGTTTCATTAGAAATTTCTGATCATTCTCAGTAATTGAGGAGCCAAAGGTAGCTCCTTAATTTAAAAAATTTAAATTAATATTTAATTATAAAAAATCAAGTAGTAATGGAGGTGTATTTTCTTCCCAAACAGGGGTTTACATTTTTAGGGTTAGTATAACTGGGGGTGAGGTGGGGTGAATATCATTCTTAAAGGTGACAAATTCCTGTAAGATTTAGATTCACTTATTTTCTTAAATGTTCTGTATTTTGGTGGTGAGAATACATACACAGCAAAACAATTCACAAATTCTAATTTCTGCAAGTACAATTAATTCAGTGACATTGACTATACGCTTGGAGTTGTACAACCATTCTCCTCTCTTTCTGAATTGGACCTTCCTCATTAGCAAAACCGCACTGCTCAGTATTGAGGTTCTGTTGTCGATTTGATCCCATATAGTTCTTCAAGGAGCATAATGCTCAAGGCAGATATTTTTACTGCTTAGTTTGTTTAACTTTAAGAAGACTACTGGGATATTTTTAGTTTAAGGATTCTGACAGGGCAATAGTTTCACAGGTTTATATTCTTTTGTTTTTTAACTTACATAAAAAAATATGGTACCAACCATTCTTCCCACAGCACTCTACTTTTCATCTGGGTTCGATAATCTATTGCAGTAGCCATACAGAACTCAGACACCATACTCAGAGTTACGGGGCTTATTTAAGGAAGTTAACAGGACACACTGCCAGGGACAAATGCCCAGGGCACAATTGCTCCAGTCAGGACTGCCTCTCCTCAGACATGCTTCACAGACAACAAGGCTCTTTTAGGCCTGCTGATAAATGCTCACGGGACACACTACTCCACCTCAGCCTGAAGATACTCACCTCTCTCTACTCTGGGGGTCAGCAAACCTAACTACCACTATAGAAGCACCACACTGTACAAACAAGCCTCCTGTCCAAAGCCCACTGCTCTGTCTCATGCTCTGGTTCTTGGTTCTGCTGCTGTTGCTCCTCTTGCCACTCCTCCGATGTCAGCTTCCCATCCTTGGGTTGAGTTGGTTCAATGCATAAGGATCTTGGGATCCAAAGGATGCAAGCCATTCCTGGCTCTTTGATGGTTGTGAGACTCTCCCCACTTCCTGCTTCTGAGATGGCTCATTTTATTCACAGTAGTATTCCAGGTTTTTGTACTCACAGTTAACCCTGAATACCACTCACAACTGAATTGTATAATCCTGCCAGCATCTCCTCCCATCTTCTCTTACTAAGACCCATCAGGGCAATTGGTGGGAGTTCACAAAGACTACAGCTAGAGCAGACACCAAGTAATTTACTGCACTGCAGCTTTCTACTGTGAATTGAATGAGCAAATCCGTTTTTCATTTAACAATTTTTATATCACTCACTGCAATCCCCACAATGTAATATCATTTACCTCGCTTCCTCCCTGTTTTCATTCCTTTCCTAACCCTTCTGAACTTTGTCCTTGAGTAAATGCTGCCCTTTTGATCTCAAATAGTTAATTATTCTAAGGTATATGTACCTACCTTGTTTGTGATAAAAGTAACCAAATCTTGATGTCTTTCAGTATTTCATATCTTCCTGTGTTTGTTGTTAAGTACTGTCAAGTAGGTTCTGATCCATAGCGACCCTGTATAGGGTTTCAGAGGAGCAGCTGGTGGGTTTGAACTGCCAACCCTGCGGTTCCAACTGACCTTGAAGTCCAGCACATTATTCTGCAATGCAACACCAGGACTCCCATCTTATCCTATAAATGTCCATAAATGACAAGGTTTCGGTTACAGCTCTTTCCAGAAATATGTGGGAGATAGAATGCCACATATCTGGCATGAACAGCTGATTGGGAGCTGTCTTATGCTGTGTTCTCTTGAGAAGCAAAACTGTAAAGCTTAACCATATACATATGTTGTTGTTGTTAGGTGCCATCAAGTCAGTAATGACCCATAGCGACCTTGTGTGCAGCAGAATGAAACACTGCCC